CTATAATATTTAAATGATGGAACTAAACAAAAAAAGAGGATATAGATGAATGACCATTTTGTATCTGTGTATTCAAAATGGTTAGGATAGATATATAGCTACAAACTCTTAATGAGTAGAGGGATTTGTTATAATAGTGTTTGTAAATAAGATATCATGTCTGCATCTTGTATAACAAATAACCACTAGGAAGACAGTATGAAATGTGTTAATTATTGGAACTGTCCTACCAATTTGACTTGAAACTGTCTCATTGCTATTTATTTCTCAATAAAATTATGTTTAAAAACAACAACAACAAAGTTTTGTTTTGTTTTGTTTTTGTGGTACTGGAGATTGAACTCAGGACCCTGTGCTTGCCAGGCAAGTGCTTATTCTACTGAGCTATCCCCCCAGCCCTCAAAAATAGTTTTATTTTATTTTTATTTTTTTATTTTTTATTTTTTTCAACAAATAATACACTGTATATATTCTTCTTAGTGGTTAATTGCTGTATCAAAAATAGTTTTAAAAGTTGTATTTCAGAACTGTTACCCAGCTTGTGGTTTTTTTGTTGTTGTTGTTTGTTTTTTTTTTTTTTTTTGGTATTTAACACAGGGTTTACAGGGTCTCACTACGGAGTTTGGACTCGTAGTGATTCTCCTGTTTTCAGCCACCCCCCCCCCAAGTTCTGGGATTATAGATGATGCCACCATGCCTGTAGCAGTTGATGTCTCAGCTCGCCCAGGGGCAGGGCTGGATTGAACCCTGGCCCCTGTGCTCTGCTTAAGCAGGTGCTTTAGTCCACTGAACTATTTGGCCAGCCCTATGTTTTTAATTTAAAAACAACTCAATATTCACATAGTACTTTGCAGTTCATAAGTGTTTTTCCAGTCTTAAATGTTTATAAAATTTGGTTTTCAGGAATCAGTGCTCTTAAAAAAAAACTAGTAATAGCTGAAAAGCTGATTAATATATCTCTTATAGTATCTCTACTAGATTAAATCTTTTAGACTTAAGTTTTTTGTTGTCAAGTTTTATTTTTATTTTTGAAATGGGATCTCACTATGTAGTTCAGGCTGATCTTGAACTCACTGTGTACCCCAGGCTGGCTGCAAACTCAAGATGATCCTCTTGCCGCAGCCTATCATGTACTGGGATGACAGGGTTTACTACTTAAAATGTTCTCAATTTGTAAAGCAGTTAAAGTGGTGCCTCTATTCCTGCTCACATTTTGCTTCCTGTGTGAAAGTTCACAAGTTGACATTATAGTAGGTTAGGCCATGTTACAAACATAGTATGATGGAAAGCTCCATCCTGAAGTTGGGAGAGAGAGATTCCAACCTGCCTTTTACATCCTCTCAAGGTAGCCTTAAGAAAGTACCAGGGCTGCTCCGTATATAAATGTCAATACCATAACAAGTGATGTTCCTTCCAACTCTTAAAAATATCTGTTTTGATCACTATAAATCTGGATGAGAACATTTGTGTGTCACCTAAGATTTAATCTACCACTGAACTACATCACCAGTCCCATTTATATTTTGAGATAGTCTTGCCAAGTTGCTCAGACTGTCCTCAGATTTGCACCCCTGCTTCAGAATCCCATGTAACTAGGATTACAAACAAACAGCTGTGTGTAGTGTTGCATACCTGTACTCCCAGCACTCTGGAAAACTAAGACAGGAGGATTCCAAGTTTGAGCACAGGGCCTTATGCCTGTTAGGCAAGCATAAGCACCTTATCTTTGAGTTATATACCCTGCTTTTTTTTTTTTAATTTGTACAGGGTCTCACAATGTAGCTTGGACTCAGTGTCCTTCCTGTTTTTCAGCCTCCTCAGTGCTGGGATTACAGGCATGCATTGTGTAGGGGATCAAACCCCATCCCTGCATATGCTTAAGATGCTTAGTCTGCTGAGCTATCTCACTGGCCCTACCTTGCTCTTTTTGTAGTTTTATTTTAGGCCAGAATCTCACTAAGCTTCCTGGGCTGACCTTGAATTTACAATCCTGCTGTCTCAGCCTCTCAAGTAACTAGGACTTCAGGCATGTACCAACATGGCCATTTATTTTGTTTTTAAGAAAAATTTCAATAAAGGATAAATGCTGCCTAGAGGACTGATGAGTTTTTACAGCAGATTCATAACCCTTTTATTAGAGTAATAGACTCATGGCCCCTTTATTTGATACTTTGATGCATAGAATGGCCTGTCTGTAGGAATATTCATAGTCTTCTTGGATTACAAAGAAATATTTTGGTATTGTTGACAGTGGATTGTGAGAATGAGTTTCCAGCATGTCCTAATAGGACAAGTTTTGTTTAGGAGAGCACTTTTCCACTTACCTGCTTACCCTGTAGTCTAGGGCTTATAGAATATGTGCAGCATCTCTCTCCCTTAGTCTTCCTTCAAATCACTAGTTATACGCAAGTAATAGCTCTTCAATCTCAAGGTAAAACAAAGCACAGGTGTATTTCATTTTTTAGAAGTACTTACCGAACCAGATGAAATCATACATAGTCTATTTTCTAAAATTATAAAGAACATTTCAGTAACACATCGCTACCCCTAGTTTCACATATCAAGTCTTTGATTGTTGCAGGAAAGAGATTAAATTCCTAAGTTCTAGACTGGAAATTATGGAATTTAAAAGAATGAAATATTTAGTGCTTAATGTGTAAAATGATACCCAATGTTTTATTTTAGGTGGGAGAAGGCGAAAAATTGGTAAGAGCTCTTTTTGCTGTGGCTCGAGAACTTCAACCTTCTATAATTTTCATAGGTAAAAACATGTTTTCCAGGGGCTCGGGGAGAGGCAGGGTGGGTGGGAAGAGGGGAGCTGGGAAAATAAAGGATGTTTTCTAACTAAAGTAGTTGAATATAGTACTTGTAAAAGTTCCCTTTACATACATAACAGGTATAATAGGACAGAATATTCAGAAGAAAAAAGTTTAGGTTAAATAACACTTAATGTTCAGTAGCATCTACTATATTTGTAACTGATGTAATAACTGAATTACTCTTAAATGATTCACATAGATTGGCTGTTGAGGTTTTATCCTTGCATTTCCTCTAGATGAAGTTGATAGCCTTTTGTGTGAAAGAAGAGAAGGGGAGCATGATGCTAGTAGACGTTTAAAAACTGAATTTCTAATAGAATTTGATGGTGTAAGTATTGATAATGATATTGTAATATGTGTGTATATATATTTTTTTTTCTGTAAGATGACCCAAATTAGAAATACATACATCTTTTAAAAATTTTCTTTATCTAAAGATATCCCCCCAAAAACAATATTTTGGCTTGTAGGTGCAGTCTGCTGGAGATGACAGAGTACTTGTAATGGGTGCAACTAACAGACCACAAGAGCTCGATGAGGCTGTTCTCAGGTAGGGAGTTTTGTCTGGATATATATACATCTGTGATAGGCGTATTTGTTGATGTGTTCACCTCACACATACTATCAGTTTCAAGATTATTTCTTCCCTGTGCTTTCCTTTGACCTCTTATTAGCAACTAAATGAAGATTTTTCAGGTCTTATCTAGGACAGTATCAGGAGAATTAGCCTGTACTTTGTATACCGGAGCATGCTGCCATAGCCGGCACTGGATAAAATTTTCAACTACTGCCATATAGTTACTTAAGAATACACTGATTTAATTTATCTTAGGATTTAATATTTCCTTATATTTACAGGTTTGGGTTTTTGTTTGTTTGTTTGTTTGTTT